CCACAGTTCGCGTACACTGTGAACTCGCCGCGGCCGAGCCCCCAATCGTTAAGAATGTGGGGGAGCCGACATTCATTTGTCGACTCATAATGTTTGCAAAATTTTAGGCAAGATCTTTTGTCAAAAGCAAGGCTAGTCCCGAAGTACTACGGTTGGGCAATGAGGTGAAGAGACTCAAGGGTGAACTCGCACTTCTTTCTCCAACGTCCGAATTTTCTGCATACTTCAAAACTGAACGAATTCTCAACAAAACTATTGAGCAGTATGATGTGGCAGGTAAATTCTTCAGGGTTTCCTTTTAAGTTTCTCCTCTCATATGTACTCTTTGCAGTTTCTGAGGATAACAAGAGGCAGTCATCACCTGCAAAGGTGGATATGGCTGTAAAAATATTTTCACAAGCAGTTGCTCTGTTCATGCTTCATATCGTTTCAGGGATATATGTAAGTTGTCTTCATTGTTTAGTTGAGGCCAGCTATCAAAATAGAGGTGAATCTTTGAATGTCTGTTCTCAGTGATCAAAAATTAGTTTTCCTGGGTGGCTATCCGTCGGTGATACTGCAGCCTCGCCAAAAATTGTTCGAGAAGTGGTCAAGTTGTAGGCTAGGTCCGACACAGCTTACAGGTTCAATGCGAATAATGTAGATAAAATTTCATCATCCTCACAGTGCATAAGTGTCAGCTGCTGCTTTAGACACCGACCAAGGCATCTCGCTCTTAATAAATTGTGGCGGTCATCACTACAATTGGGGGTGAGGAGAAAATAACAAGCTGACAACAAGCCTTATATCCAAATCAGTGTCGATGTATCATTCTATCGTGACATCATTATTGTGAAAACACAGATGTTATACAGAGTAGTACCTACTGAGTACTCACCAGCTGTTCCACTTGGTGTCGCCGTCACAAGTGGAAGGGGACGGGAGGGACTGTGATGTGGGGAGGGAGAGAAGCTAGCCGCGAACGAATACCAACAAATGGGCCACGGTTTAACTTGATCTCATGGTTGCGACAATGCCCTTCTCAAACCTTTTGTGCATTCGCATCTACCCCACGGGTTTTAAAGCAACAGTCCCAGCAGGGTGGGCGTGGTCGGAAACGGCTGCAATCCCCTCGGCCGATTCCCACTTCGGAGCTGTTCAGCCCCTAGTCAAGAACGTAAGAAGTGTGACTGAACAAAAACTCACCTTGGAAAGCCGCTAGGGAGGGAGCTGAAGTGGGCGTGGTCGGAATCGGCCGAGGGGATTGCAGTCGTTTCCGACCACGCCCACCCTGCTGGGACTGTTGCTTTAACCTCTAAGTGGAAGTAAACACAGCGGAGGAGTCAAACATACGCAGGGAAACTGAGGTTTCGGCGACTGCTAACAGCACAACTGGTTTCATCACATGAAACTTCCAGGTAAACGAAGATGTCGCAAAAATGTTTCGGTTATACTTGGCGACTGGAGTGTGGTTCACTAGGACAAAAAGCGAATTCTCCGCTTCACGCGAAGATCAGCGGTGGACCAGAGGTTCCTGCAGCGAAAAGTTTCGCGTGTGAAA